GTTCGGGGAGACGTACGACGACTCGGGTACGTGGGGCTCGGGTTGGCCTGACGGGGCCATCCAAAACAAATGACGAGGCCCAATCAGAATCTTGACGAGAACACTCCCGCTGCAGACACCCCGCGGAAGCTGGACCGCCAAAACCCAGGACGCGCTCGCCGAAAAAACTTCTTGGCAAACCCGGATTCCGACTTACTCGAGTCTTATCGGAGCCCACCAAAGGGGGGGGGACCCCGAGGGGGGGGGAGTTCGATCCGCTGGTGCATCGAATTTCCGAAAACGATGCCCCCCGCGCGCCCCGATTGTCGACGCCTCTCGGGTTCCGGCGGCTGCAGGAGACCTCGTTTTGCAATGTTTTTCTGCGGCTCGATGCGCCAACAGACCGAACTCCCCCCCTCCCCCTCGTGCACCCCCCCCTTTGCGAGGTCCCGATCTTTGAGCAGGGACCGACCGTCCCGGCATTCCTTTAGTCCAACCACGAAATGTTCTTAGAACCCAAAAATGTTCTAAGAACAAAAACCATGTTCTTAGAACATCAACCCGATGTGCTAAAACAAGACAGTGCCAACCAGAAATGTTCTAAGCACATGTCGTGGGCACCACAGAAGGCCCTCAGAACAGTGTGTGGTAGGACGAGGGGCACGCCAGGACGCTTCGCCACTGCTTGAGCTCTTGCGCTCTCCCCGAGCCGATCGCCCCGGGCCTCGGGCACGGGCGCGGGCGCCGGCGGCCGCCCCCCCGCGGCAGCCCCCGGGGTACCGAACTCGGGCATGGCGCTCTCCGGGAAGGACAGGAGCAGCAGCCGGGGGCGCTCCTCACACCGACGACGACGGCGCCGACGACGAGAGCGACGAGGACGACGACGACGACGACGAGAACGACGACGCCGACGACGACGACGAAAACGAGCACCAGGACGACGAGGACCAGGACGAGGACCAGGACGAGGACTAGGACGGAGAGGACGAGGAGGACGGCGGGCGAGGGGCTGGTACGGTCAAGGCGCCGAGCAGAGGGAGCAGTTCGGGCTCGGAAGGGGCTCGATCAACGAGCTCCTTCCGAGCCCAAGGACCTAAGGTCCTTCTGAACCCACAGACCGAAGGACCCCAAGGATCATCGAGAGCCCCTGCCGAACCCAAGGACCCAGGGACCATCGAGCCGTGGAAGGACCTCGGGAACAGCACGATCCTGGGGTCCTTCCAGGGCTGTCCCTCCAGCCCTCCTCGTGCACGAGAGCGACCCTGCGGGGCCACGAGGAGGAGGGAGAGGAGGAGGAGGAGGAGGAGGAGGAGGAGGAGGAGGAGGAGGAGGAGGAGGAGGAGGAGGAGGAGGATGAGGAGGAAGGAGAGGAGGGAGGAGGAGGGGAGGGGGGGAGGAGGAGGAGGAGGAGGAGGAGCGAGGAGGAGGAGGAGGAGGAGGAGGAGGAGGAGGAGGAGGGAGGAGAGGGAGGAGGAGGAAGGGACGCCTCCTTCCTCACTCGGCGCTCCCTGCGGCAGCAGCCCGGGCATCTCATGCCGAGGGCCCTCCTCCGGCCGTGTTAAGCCACTGGCACTCGCAAGGGTGCAGCCATCGGCGGCAACACCGAGCCTGTGCCGCGGCAACACCGCGCCGTGGCCTGGCGGCGCGCACCGGGGGGTAACCCCAGGAAGCATTTAAGAACCCCCCCGATATCGTAGCACCGCATTTTTTATTCGATATTCCGAAGGGCCGAAATAACCGAACGATAGCTGTAGCACCCGGACACGATGATGATGATGATGATGATGATGATGATGAGGATGTGATGATGATGATTGATGATGATGATGATGATGATGATGATGATGATGATGATGATGATGATGATGATGATGATGATGATGATGAGATGATGAGGATGATGATGATGATGATGGATGAGATGCGGATATGGATGATGGTGCGAAAGGGTTATCGATTTGCCGGAGGGGGGGGGGTTCTTAAATGCTTGTTGGGGGTATTGGGGGAGGGGGGAGGGCTTCTCAGAAGCAGGCTGCTCCTCAGAGGGCGCCGGCCTCACATGTGTAGAGAAGGCCCGCGCCCTCTAAGAAGCAGGGGCGCTTCCAAGAAGCCTTCCCCCCTCCCCTTACCCTCATGTCGGGCGTCTCCCCCTACAGGGGGATTTTCGACGAAAAACAAAAAAGACATACCCCAAAAAGGTCAAAAAATACTCAAAAATAGTCCCAGACTGTTTTTGGATTATTCTTTTTGGTATTTTTAGGGTATTTTCTATATTTTTCGTCGAAAATCCCCCTGTAGGGGGACAGGCCCGACACCCTACCCCCCTCTGCGCGTGGCCGAGCGGCGGCTCGCCCGCGCGGCGCGGCCTCCCCGCCCGATCGGCGAGGCCAGCCGCCGCGGGCAGGGCGGCAGGGCTTTTGGGGCGGCCCAGCGCCGCAGGACCCCCGTGGAGACAGGGCATCCGGCGGGGGCCGCCGAAGGCGCCCGCTGGCCCCAGAGAAGGTCGTACTATTGCAGGCCTGGAAATTGGCACCAACACCAGCACAGGGGGCTGCCTCCACATGGGGAAGATGATCCTAGATTTCGGTGTTGGTGGTAAGATTTCGGTCACCTTGGAAGCCAGAATGTTACCACCATCACCGAGATCGGGGTCGCCTTCCCTGGGTGGAGGCGCACTGCCGATCCTGGTGTTGGTGTCAACCTCTAGGCGTTGACCTAAGGAACCCTAAATAAGGAACGAGGCTCCTGTTTTCCATAAGTTAAAATTCGATTTCCGATCGAAAACAGGAGGAAAACCTGAGGCAAGCTGTGAAACACTTAAGGAACGCGGAGCCCCTCCCCAACCAAAAGGGTTCCTTCTTCAGGGCCCCGACTGTAGTGCTACGTGCTGGTGTTTTGGTGGCGCGCACCAGGGGGTGGAGGGTGGGGGAGGGCGTCTTAGAAGCAGGGCTGCTTCTCAGAAGGCGCCGGCCTTGCATCGATAGGTAAGGCCCGCGCCTGCTAAGAGGCAGGGCTGCTTCTGAGAAGCCCTCTCCCCTCCCCCCACCCCCATCTGCGCGTGGCTGAATACTAGTGCTGCGTGCTGATGTTGGAGGCACGAGTCCTACACGAACAGTCAGCAGGCGCTCGCCAGGGAGCTTCTGCTCTGAGGCTTCTCGGCGCGTGCGTCGCCCCATGGGGGGGGGGCGACGCACACATAGTACAGTCGAGGCGTTGACCTAAGGAACCCTAAATAAGGAACGAGGCCCCTCTTTTCCATAAGTTGAACTTCGATTTCCCATGCAAAAACCTATGGGAAACCCGAGGCAAACTGTAAAACAATCAAGGGACACCGAGCCCCTCCCCAACGAAAAGCGTTCCTTCTTCAAGGCCCCGACTGTATCACTATGCTGGGGTGACGCCGATATCCAGGGCCCGGAGGCCGGTGGAGGCCGAATCCTTGATGGACCACGGATGCCCCCGCCGCCCTCGTCAGCTGAGCAGCCCTCCAGGGTCTGAAGCCCCCTTTAGGAAGGCACCAACTATACACCAGCACCGATCCTGGCCAGAATCACCCTGGGCCCAGGATTGGTGTGTACGCCCTCCTGCCTTGCGCAAGAAGGCATATACATCGATCCTGGGCCCAGGGTGATCCTGGGCCCAGGATCGGTGTTGGTGTATAGTTGGTGCCCTCCGACCCTTGGCACACCCCGTGACGACTGCCCCCCGCCAGGTGCAGACCAGGGAGGGCCGCCAGGGCGGCGTGGTGCGCGGGCTCTGCGCCTGCGCGGGTCGTGGCACTCACGGGAGGCGGCTGCGGAGGAACGGAGCTTCGGCCTAGGAGGACAGACTCCGGAGGTCTCCCTGCCTTGGTCAGCGCCCGCAGTCCGGGTCGGGAGAAGACTCAGAAGTCTACGGAAAAGCAGCGGCGGCAAGGGCAAGCTGCTGAAAATAAGAGGCGGAAACGAAGGGGAAGAGACGGCATCACAAATCTAAGAAGATCTGCGCAGTCGGCCCCAGAATCCAAACTTTCTTCCAGATGCGAAGAACGCAGGCTCTGGTCTGGAATCTGTCTCTTCGTCATGAATATGATTGGCGTACTGTCAGGGACTCTTGCTTAGCGCGTCGCGGCGAAAGGGGGGCAGAAAAAGAAAAACACCGACATATACATGAACGTTCGAAGGCTCGCACAGATTTCTTGGATTTGCGTTGGGTTTCCTTTCCCCGCGCGTGCGGAGCGCGCCAGGGGCGGCGCTGGAGGCGCCGCCGGGAGGGCCCAAGCGCCGACCCAAGAGATCCGAGCTTACCGCCGAAGTCGATGTTTGTGCAGTTTTGTTTCTTCTTCGAGCTTGAGCAGGGGCCGACCGTCCCGGCATTACTATAGGCCTACCACGGACTGCTCCTAGAACTTGAACCCCCAGAGCTCGAAGAACAAAAGCAACGTTCTTAGAACATGATCCAGATGTAATACAACGAAGCAGTCTCAGCCAGACATGCTCTAGGAACACCTCGTGCAAGCCACAACAGGTTCTTAGAACATTCGTTGGTAGGCAAGCCAGGACGCTTCGCCACTGCTTGACGAACATGGTCCTCCTCTGCATACAGCTGGGGAGGAATTCGGCCCGCCGAGCTCCAGAGGATCCACGCTCGCATCCACCGGCTTCCGCCGTGGCTGCTGCGGCCGCCAGGGCTCGTAGGCGGGCACGCACGCGGGCGTCAGCGGGAACACGAGGAGCTCGGACTCCGGGGCGTCTGTGCTCGTGGCCGGCTTCGGCAGCTCCGCGGCAGTGCCGGGGGGGGGAGGGAGAGGAGGAGAGCGAGGGCGACGAGGGCGAGGACGAGACGAGGGAGGAGGGGAGGAGCGAGGAGAAGGAGGAGGAGGAGGAGGAGGCAGAAGAAGTGGACGAGGATGATGGCGAGGGGAGAGGGCGGAGGGAGGAAGGAGCAGGGAGGTCGGGGAAGAGGCAGGAAGAGCAGGAGAAAGAGGAGGGAGAAATCTCGCGAGGGGCGAGGAGGGAGGAGAGCGCGAAGCGAGCACGGAGGGGGCGGGGAGGGAGGAGCGAGCAGGCAGGGGCCAACAGCGAGGATCGAGGAGCCAGGAAATGGACGGGGGGGGGGAAATCGAGTGGACGGGAGGAGGGTGCCCGAGGCAACAGCGTCCGCGTCCCGCGCGGTCTCGCGGACAGCTTTGCCGGATATGCCCTTGAGCATGTCTGTGTCCAGCAGCGGGCGGTAGCGCATCATCTCTATCTGGCCCTTGCTGGGCGTGTCCACCTTCCAGGGGGCAAGGAGAGAGCACGGAGCCCTCCCGCGCCCTGCCGGCGAGGCAAAACCTGCCCGCCCCTCTGGGCTTGGGCCTCTGGAGGCCCGCTTCTTGGACGAGGGCGATGTCACGACAAGATTGACTCGGGATGCGTCGCGGCCCTCGTTCCTGGAGCCCGTGCGGAACACTAGGACATCTGAGAAATCCTGGAAGTCTGGGCATATATTGTCATGACTTCTTGCTCCTCTGAGCTTCGGGCCCCAGGACCGCCAGATACAACCCGCGGCAAGGGATACTGGAAGAGGACGGGGCCGACAACTCCGGAGCACCGCGTACGTACCTCACTGATAAGTCAGGGCGTCGGAGGTCTTTTCGTTTGCCCCGGAAACGCATCGCGCCCGTGTCACTAGAGGAGCCGGACGATGCTGAATGGCCCAAGCAACCAGTTCAGAATGAGCGTCGCAGGCGCGCGTGTCTATACCCCATCATCCCCTCCTCAAGCCACCCCCTCTCCTTGCTCCATCTCCTCGGCCCTCTCCCCATCTCCCCTCTCCCTCCTCCCGTCTAGCTGGGGCTGCGTTTACGTTTAAGACGGGCATGTCCTCCTACGGGCGGGTTATGGACGAAACATACAAAATAGCCCAACAATATTCTAAAACACCTTTCAAACATACCCTGACGATGTTTTTGAAACTATGTTTGAGCATTCCTCCTGTAGAGGGACAGGCCCGACTTAGGTGCACGTGCGTGCCCTCTTCGCCCCCCCAGCCTTGGGCAGGGGCCGCCGAGGTGCGGGCTCCGGCACCACGTCCAGCAGGCCCGCTTCCTTCGACACGCACCAGAGTCCCAGCTGCTCCAGGCGAGACTGCAGGTCGGCCTTCTCGCTCTCCTCGGCGGCTCAAAGATGGGGTCCTGAGGGACGGGGTCCTATTAGGACGAGGTTTTCTTTAAACAGCGCGGAGTCACCCCTGGACCCCTTCCTGTCCTTAGGTCGTCCTCAGGGCCCCATCCCCCGGGGCCCCACCTTTGGACCGCCACCGGTCTCCGTGGCGGAGAAGATGCCCTCGAGGACGTCCCGGTCCCTCTCCTCCTCGCCGTGGAAGGTCAGGCCTGCACTGCTCCCCAGGCACAGCTGGACGTTGTGCTCCTGGAGCATGGGCCGGACGAGGCCGTCGTACAGGCGGTCCTGCACGCTCCGCATCCAGAGGGCCACGACGTTCCCGCGCTCGAAGCCCGCCAGCGCCCGGACGAAGCGGGCGCCAGGGCCGCCGCCGCTCAGGTAGCCCAGCCGCTGCATCTCGAGCGGCGAGGGCAGGTCGTCGGCGGAGGCACCGTTGGCCTTCTCCCCCTCGGCCGCCTCCTGCTGCTTCACCCCCTCCAGCTTGCCGTGCAGGCAGATGAAGCAGAACTTGGCGTGCCTGGGGGAACACAAGGATGCCGATACCGCTACTCTTAGGTCGGGCATGTCCTCCTACGGGCGGATATTGGAGGGCAAAGGAGGTAGAGTCCATAACTATTCAAAAACTAATCAAACAATAGACAAACGTCGTCCCCAGACTACTTTCGACTTCATTCGGATAGTTAACCCCAGGAAGCATTTAAGAACCCCCCCGGCGATATCTTAGCACCGCATTTTTGTTTCGATATTCCGAGGGGCCGAAATAACCGCACGATAGGTTTAGCACCCGGACACACAACAAATTCGCGGAGGCCTTGGGCCCCGAGGGAAGGAGGGGGGCGCGGGAGGAGGAGGAGGAGGAGGAGGAGGAGGAGGAGGAGGAGGAGGAGGGGGCAGGAGGAGGAGGAAGGAGGAGGAGGGGCAGGAGGAAGTTCGGGGGGGAGGAGAGGAGGAGGAGGAGATGAGGAGGAGGAGGAGGAGGAGGAGGGCTCTGGTGCCAGGTAACGCTTCCAGAGTGGGGTCGAAGGGTTATCGATTTGCCAGGAAGGGGGGGGGGGGGGTTCTTAAATGCTTCCTGGGGTTATTCCTCCTGTAGAGGGACAGGCCCGACTTAACGCTGCTCCCGGGACCTCTCCCGGGGCACGTTGCGACCAGGATCTCATGGCGAAGTCAGCCGCGGCGACGAAGGAAGCGCAGCGGCTTCGGCACCTCCGCCCTCCTCCTCCTCCTCCTCCTCCTCCTCCTCCTCCTCCTCCTCCTCCTCCTCTTCCTCCTCCTCCTCCTCCTCCTCCTCCTCCTCCTCCTCCTCCTCCTCTCCGAGCGCCTTGGGTTCGCGTGCGTGTGCGGCATCCACTTGACCGGCCCCCGCGCGGTGGCGGCGTTGGCGTCCGCGGGCGGCAGCTGGGAGCGCACCTGTCAGACGAGGCCAGGACGAGGATCATATCGGGCAAAAATAAAATCGAGAATCTCTGGGATCCCGCGGCTCTGGAGCATGTCTCGGGCGCCACGGCCTTCTCAGAGCGTTCCGGAACGTTCTGAGAGCGTTCCGGAACATTCTGAGAGCGTTCTGGAACGGACTTATCGTCCGATGCTCCTTCCTCCCTGCTTGCTTCAGACCCTTTGACCGACGATGACGACGACAACAACGACGACAACGACGGGGACGATGGCCAGGCAACGATGGGGGGTGGGGCAATGGCGATGACGAGGAGGAGGAGGAGGAGGAGGACGACGACGACGACGACGAGGATGACGAACCTTCTCAGCCCCGCGCTTAAAGCGCGCCAGCGCGGAGTCCCCGTCGCCGGCGTGCGGCAGCGGCGGTGGCGGGTGCGCGCCGCCGCCCCCCCCGCTCCCGCCGCCACGGCCGCCGCTGCTGCCGCCCGGGCTGGCGTCTGGGCTGGTGCCTGGAAGGGAAGGGGGGACGAGAAGAGGAGAGAGGCGAAGAATCAGAGCAAGAATCCGCCGACCCCTTGGGGTCACGGCGTGTGAGATGCTTCCCCCTCCCCAAACCCCTCCTCCGGGAGCCCGGTCTGGCCAGCTCGGAGGGGGGGGGGCGGGGGGCAAAGGTGTCAGCCGCACCCTTGGAGCCTCAGGGGGCCCCAAAACGGGCCAAGAGGGCCCCAAAAGGCCCCCGGACGGTCCAAGAGGGCTACGAGTCGCCGAAAGATCGCTCCAAGACGCCCAAGATCGCCTCCAGACGGTCCCAGAGGCCCCCAAGACGCCCCAAGAAGCCACCAAGAGGCGTCCCTAGAGGCCCTCCAAAAGCAAACATCGTCCCATTCCCGGGGGCAAACGTATATTTCTAGCACATTCGCCTCTTGGGCTTTCACGAGGCCCACAACAGCCCAAGAAGCCTTTAAGATCGACCCAAGGTAGCCCAAGAGACCCCCAAGATGGCTCCAAGGCGGCCCAAGAGGGCCACAAGACGGCCCCAGAAGCTTCCAAAACGACCCAGGAGAGCCCCAGGACGGCCCCAAGAAGAGGCCCAAAGGAGGAACCCGAATGAACATTTCGAGCACTCGGCCCTGAAGAAACCTGAGGAGGCGCCAATCGGCTCCCAAGAGGCTCCCACGAGGCCCCCGAGAGGCCCAAAAGAGGCTCCTGGAGGCCTCAAACCGGCTCCCAAGAGGCCTCAAAAGTGCTGCCAGGAGAGCCCAGAGAAGCCCAAGAGCATAGCGGCGATCCGCCAATCGACCCTGACGAAATCCCAAGAAGCTGAAACCCCAAGATTCCCCAGAAATCGTTCCGCACCAAGGGGTCGGCGGTGCGGCGTCAGCCTATGAATAATAGGAATGCAACCAACGCGCCTAGTAAGGAGGTGCGCCTTCATCCAGGGTGCCCTTGTGTCCTTGCCTCTGCGGCCCGTCCTTTGCCGCTTTAACTGGTCGCCCGCCGCCCAAAACTCCCAACTTCGGGCTCCAAGAGTCGTGCGTGTCCTAAACACACGTTTGACTGTAGCGATAAGAAGCAAGAGAATAACAATGAGAAAGCACACGCCGATGCGGCGATCCAGCTCCCGCTCGGTCGCCGCGATCGAAGGCGGGAGGGGAGGGCAGAAACCCTCGACCAACGACGCCGATTTGTTTCCAAACAACTGCTTGCACTTAGGTGTTCTTATCTCCCGAACAGCGCTTGCACTTAGGAATTCTTACCTCTGTTCTAAGGCACCGTGCCGTGTCTTCGGTCAGGCGGCTCGCTGTCGCCGCCCCGTCGCCGCCTCGTCGCCGCCCGTCGTCTGGGCCTGACGGTCGGTCTGGCGGCTATGCTGTCGCCGTCGCCGCCTCGTCGCCGCGACAAGGACTGCGCCACATTGGATGCACCCCATAGGTTGCACCGCGTAGATTCTCCTTTCTAAAAAAAAATAGACTCTACCCCCCCCCCCCGGACTTAACGCTTCCCCCTGGGATAATATAATTTCATTTATATATATATATATATATATATATGTATATATATAAATTATAAATCCATGTAATATGTTTTCAAATATAAATATAAACAATGTCTAATATCCTAGTAATTTTTTTTCTTTTTTTTTTTTTTTTTTTTGTGCTATTATACAAAACATGAAATAATCATATGTATATATATATATAGATTCTGCACACTCGTCCATCCGAAATATGAAATCATACCATCCCAGGCAGGCCGGTTTCCCCCCCCCTGAGGTTCCTTTGCGAAAAAGCACTATGCGGTGACATTTGTTGTTCTAACCTAACACTTTGTCACGAATCCCTGGCCAAAAATGAAACGAAGTGCACACGCGCGCGTCGTCGCGCGCGCATGCCGAAATCCTTCAAAAACCTTCGGTGCCGGAAGGATTTCGCAATCGAGTTTCCAAAACAACATACAAAAATACAGGGTTTCGCAACACTGATTTGCTAAGAAAGCTTCCGCGCGAGCTCTTGCGAAATCTGAGGAAAACCATTGTTTTTTTTTTCAAAACTTTCCCAACATTCTCCCAAAGGGGCGTCGCGCGCGCATGTCGAAATCTGTCGAACGCCCTTGCGCGTGTGCCGTCGCGAGAATCCTCTGCAAAAAATTGGACGAAGTGCAGACGCGCGCGTCGTTGCGCGCGTACGCCGAAATCCTTCAAAACCCATCGGTTTCGGAAGGATTTCAAAATCGCGCGTCCAAAAACCTACAAAAACCCAAAGTTTCGCAACACGGATTTTCAACAAAAGCGTGCGCGCGCGCTCTTGCGTCGTCGTCGTCGTCGCCGTCCTCCCTCCTCCCGCGTCGTCGTCGTCGTCGTCGCCTACGTCGTCCTCTGTCTTTCCTCGTGTTCGTCGTCGTCGTCCTCTTTGGCGTCGTGGTCGTTTCCGTCGTCGTTGTCGCCGTGGTCGTCCTTCCTCCTCCTCCCTCGTCGTCGTCGTCGTCCGTCGTCGGCGTTTCGTCGTCGTCCCTCCTATTTCGTCGCCGTCGTCGTCGCGTCTCGGTCTTCACTCCTCAGTCGTCGTTATCCTCCCTCCCTCGTCGTCGTCGTAGTCGTGTCGTCAGCGTCTTGTCGTCATCCCTCCTATTCGTCGCCTTCAGTGGATCGTCTGCGTCGTCGTGTCGTCGTCTTCGTTCTTCCCTCCTCCCTCGTCGTTGTCGTCGTCGGCGTCGCCGTCCTTCCTCCTTCTTCGTCGTTCGCGTCGTCGCCGTCATCCCTCCTCCCTCGTCGTTGTCGTCGTTTTCGTCGTTGTCGCCGTCGTCGTCCTCCCTCCTCCCTCGTCGTCGTCTTCGTTGGCGACGTCGTCGTCGTCGTCTTCGTCGTCGTCGTCGGCGTCGGCGTCGTCATCGTCTTCGTCGACGTCGACGTCGTCGTCGTCGTCGTAGTCGGTGTCGGCGGCGCCGTCGTCGTCGTTGTCGCTGTCGTCGTCGGCGTCGGTGTCGTGGCCAAGTGCCATGTGGTACCTACCGTCACGGTCTTGTCTTAAGAAGTCTTGCGACCAAGTTGCGGGTGGGTGGGTGGGATGTTTGCGCGAGCAGTGGAGGTGGTCAGGCGCGGTGCAGGGTAGTCAATTGCACAACATAGATTGCAACACATGGATTCTCCTTTCTTAAAATAAAATAGACTCTGCCCCCCCGGACTTATCAGCTCCCCTTTCGGGTGTGTAAATCATATATGATTCTGACCACATGTCCATCCTAAATATGAAACCGTACCATCCCAGCTAGGCCGGGTTCCCCCCCTGAGGTTCCAGTGTAAAAAAGCTATGCGGTGACACTTTTTGCTCAACATAGCACTTGTTTCACGAACCCCTTGCAACAAATGAAACGAAGTGTACACGCGCGCGTCGTCGCGCGCGCATGCCGAAATCCTTCAAAAACCTTCGGTGCCGGAAGGATGTCGCAATCGAGTTTCCAAAAAAACATACACAAACACATGGTTTCGCAACACTGATTTGCTAAAAAAGCTTCCGCGCGAGCTCTTGCGAAATCTTAAGAAAATCATTGGTTTTTCAAGATTTTCACAAAATGCTACCAAACGGGCTTCGCGCGCGCGCATGTCGTAATCTGTCGAACGCCCTTGCGCGTGTGCCGTCGCGAGAATCCTTTGCAAAAAATGGGACGGAGTGCAGACGCGCGCGTCGTCGCGGGAGTATGCCGAAAACTTCAAAACCCATCGGTTTCGGAAGGATTTCAAAATCGTGCGTCCAAAAAACCTACAAAAATCCAAGGTTTCGCAACACGGATTTTCAACAAAAGCGTGCGCGCGCGCGCTCTTGCGTCGTCGTCGTCGTCGTCGTCGCCGTCCTCCCTCCTCCCGCGTCGTCGTCGTCGTCGTCGTCGTCGCCTACGTCGTCCTCTGTCTTTTCTCGTGTTCGTCGTCGTCGTCCTCTTTGGCGTCGAGGTCGTTTCCGTCGTCGTTGTCGCGGTGGTCGTCCTTCCTCCTCCTCCCACGTCGTCGTCGTCGTCCGTCGTCGGCGTCTCGTCGTCGTCCCTCCTATTTCGTCACCGTCGTCGTCGTCGTTGTCGTCGTCGTCTTCCCTCCTCCCTCGTCGTTGTCGTCGTCGGCGTCGCCGTCATTCCTCCTTCGTTGTCGTTCGCGTCGTCGCCGTCCTCCCTCCTCCCTCGTCGTTGTCGTCGTTGTCTTCGTTGTCGCCGTCGTCGTCCTTCCTCCTCCCTCGTCGTCGCCTTCGTTGGCGTCGTCGTCGTCTTCGTCGTCGTCGGCGTCGGCGTCGTTGTCGTCGTCGAAGTCGTCGGAGACGTCGTCGGTGTCGTCCTAATCGTTGTCGTCGGTGTCGTCGTAGTCGGTCTGAACAGGTTTTGCAAACCAAGTTGCGGGTGGGTGGGTGGGATGTTTGCGCGAGCAGTGGAGAGGACGACTTCAAGTTCAGCAGAGTGGACTGCACCACATAGATTCTCCTTTCTGAAACAGAGTAGGGTCTACCCCCCCCCCAGAGTTATCATTGCACCTTTCGGGTATGGAAATCATATATGATTCTGACCTCGAATCCATCCTAAATTTGAAATCACATATGTCAAATGCCAGCCGGTATCCCCCCCTGAGGTTCCCTGTGTTTTATGTTTATATATATAAACCCTATGCGGTGACATGTTTTGTTCTAACGTAACACTTTTTACAAATCCCTTGCAACAAACGGGACGAAGTGCACACGCGCGCGTCGTCGCGCGCGCATGCCGGAATCCTTCAAAAACCTTCGGTGCTGGAAGGATATCGCAATCGAGCTTCAAAAAAACATACAAAAAACATATGGTTTCGCAACACTGATTTGCTAGAAAAGCTTCCGCGCGAGCTCTTGCGAAATCTTAAGAAAATCATAGGTTTTTCAAGGTTTTCACAACATTCTACCAAGCGGGCTTCGCGCGCGCGCATGTCGTAATCTGTCGAACGCCCTTGCGCGTGTGCCGTCGCGAGAACCCTCTGCAAAAAA